CTTTAGAGGCATATTAACCATATAATATAAGCGAAACATAAATACGATAAAGATAAAATTTGCTTAATTTATTAATCATGAATTATCAAATTGTACAAGATGTTTATATGATAACATAAAATGGTCTTTAGCACACCTATATGGCTGGCAGAGTGGCATATAATCACTGTTTTCAAATTGTGTTTTTTGTTTATCATACTTGTGTGTGCACTGCATGTATCATTTATTTAAGTAATGACAATGACTTAACTGTCAGAAGATTCTGGGGTCTAAACAATAATATAACAATTTTATATTTCTTTTTGTTTCTTTTAACCTATTATTAAATTCTTCTATGCCATATGGTAGATATCAACTATAAGAAAAGTTAGACACAAACGAAACAATAAAACAAATGTGGGCAAACAAAGACCTACCATCACCTACCCTAAAGAAAAAGATAGATGGACAGATAAAAATAAAAAAAGATCAGAGTACACTTGGTCCTCAAATCCTATCAATCGGGGTGTAATCTTTGGAGCCACACGTTTATAATGTTCCTTTTTAATGAAGTGGGGGACACACACTTTCATAGCACACTGCAAACACCCTATCCAATTTCGGTGGTAGTTGGATTGGATATAAACCGGGACCTTATCAAACGCTACTATAATAAGTCACTTTTCCATGTTTTTTTTTAACTTTCTGGGTATATATACCGAATTGTCCAGGCTTGTGAGTTGTGACACATTTCCTCTTAATAACAATTTTCATAATTTCATTTTATTATTATTTAATTTTTTATTTAGATTTTTGACGAGAACAAAAAAAAAATTATAGATTGACCAAAGCAATATAATTCTAAAAACAATATTATTATGATATAATTTAAAAATTATTAATTAAAGTGGCATAATTTGACATTTTTTTATCATGTGAGTTCATAAATATAACTTTAGTCCATACGGTCGAAAGTAATAAAAAGTAATCAAATTATTTTATTTTATTAATTTTATTTCTAAATATATATTACAATTTGAGTCAGCCAGATAAACACCTGCTTATTGTCGAGTGAGAGGTAACCACCAACTTGATTAAAACAAAATACTTTGCGCTGCCTGACACTACGCAATTCAAAATATAACGATAGAGAAAGAAAAAAAAAAGACAGTTAAAATAATTTGCTTTCTTTATTTTGCTGGGTCAGTATGTGTGTGTGCGAGTCATAGCATTACGTCATATATTTTTCACATTATATTAATGGATCCATGATATCAATTTTTTGTAATTTCATTTTATTGTTTTGCCTGAAAAAGGATTAGGTATCTCATTACTAAAATTAAGGGTTTGCATATTGCTTATAACACATTAAACCTATTGCAGTAATAAAGGACGAACCATAATATATAGCTTCCAAAAAAAAGTATTATATTGTAAAGTAAATATTAATTATGGTGCTGGAAAGGTTAGTCTCGTGAAATATATGGAAAAAGATAAAAAAAAATGTACATACTAATTATATTATAGATAATGATCACATTTAACATAGGGTTGCAGAGTATTTTTACTTGCCTAACCCATTGACTGGTATGGGGATCAATAATAGGCTTTTCAACCATTTAAATGTCACTTTTCAAAAAAAAAAAAACTATCCAAAAAATTCAAAATCAGAAAATTTTACCAAAATAATGTAGTAAAACACGTATTGGAAGGATGCGCACTTTAAGTTGAGTATGAGATTAGTGTGCATTTAGAATAGAATTATTTAATGGGAAAAGTGTGTATCATTTGAAATGATGTAAAGTTGTATCATTTTAAGTGAGAGAAAGATATAGATAAAAGAGGAGAGAGTGGAAAAAAAATATAAAGATGTAGATTCCACCTCTTTGTGAGAGTGAAATGACATAAGTTGTGTCATTTAAATGGACAAACAATTTTTCATTATTTAATTAGCTACAATTATTTTGCAATGGTTTAAACATGGTTAAAGGAGTTACGCACCCACCTCATGCGTTAATGAACAACTTGGCAAATTATCTAATTCCCTTGGGAAAAAAAAATTAGCTATGGCTAAACAACGCACAACCAAGAGTTGCGTGCTTTACTACATTAATTTAGTAATTCTTTCCGGTTTTGAATTGTTTTTTTTTTTTTAAAAGATTTGAATTATAAGGGTAAAAAAATCCCCAATAATACTACTCGTATAAGGAATATTTTTATTTTTATTTTTTAAAAAAAGTTCTAGTAGACTGGGACGTGTGCTTCTCGTATTAGGAGTTTCTTAAGAAAGAATCGAATCCTATTCTACAGTCTCTCTAGTAAATTGTAAGTCGAAGAAAGTTGAAATTTTTGTTATGCATGCTTATTTGTGAAAAATACTCGAAAGGAACTCTTCAGTGAATATTTGGTGAACTCGGGTAGAGAAAAAGAAGAGGAAAGAAGAGAGAGAGAGGAAGAAAGTCGAGAGAGACTACCAAATTAATTTTCCTTCACTTGGTAGTTACTAGGAAGAAGACAAAAAGAGGGGTGGTCCACCTACCCCTTCTTAGACCCGCATAACAATAATATACCCTATTCTGATTCTTTGTTCAGACGGTACAATAATCAGGGATAGCACATCAACAACCAATGGTATTATATAGTTTTTTTTTTTTTAACATTTTAATCGGTTCATTGTTTCGCAACTAATTCGATTCGAGGTAGGTTCGAGATTAAAACTTTATACCTCTTTCAAAAAATGATACTAAAAAAGTTCGAATACATGTTTTCATCCCGACATGCTTTGATTGCTCGATTCATCTACTATATATAGCCCACGTATCGTATCTGAATAATGCTACTCTGTGACCCATTTAATAAAATAGTGAGTGCAATGACTTCTGTCACCCACTGTCCATTGTCACTGGACATGGCCGAACCTCGTTCCAATAAAATTGCAGGTTGACTCCAGAGATATCACAGAGCTCACTATTTTTTTTTTCTCTGTTAAAGTAAATAATGAAATTTGAATTTTTTAAGAAATAATACTTCAATAATTAAAAATTATCAGAAATTTTCATAAAATAAAAAATAAAAAATAATACTTTAGTGAATAAAAACTATCCAAATTTAAATTTAAATGAATGTTTACCTTATAAAAAATAAAAAAAATTAAATGAATAGAAAATACATGGACTAACTAGTAGTGTTTATAAATCAATCCAATCTAATAAAAATTACATTGAAAAAAAATTAAAAAAAACTGGAAAATTGAATCTTTTTTAATTGAATTAGATCTGCTTATGATTTTAAAATTAATCTAATCCAAACAGGATTATTTATGAATTGACTGTATCATCCGTTCTTATATATGCAGTTTCCTATTTACATTTATGAAAAGTACATTTGATTGAATATAGATTTTTTTAGTGAACATTTGAGTGAAAAACTACATTTGCACGAATGTATATGTACATATCAGTAACTTGTTAAGCCATAGATTTTTATTAATGAGTGGAGGTATGAATAAGGTTATGGTATTGTGTACATTCTTTTTTTAGCAGTCCAAATCTAAATTGAGTTTCATCAGTATCTGTTATGTTATGACTTATAAGATGAGATATTTGATGTTTTAACTTGACTTTATAATATTTATTTATTACCCCAAAGAAAATCAAATAAAAAATTATCCCATCGAAGACACTTTATATAGATTTAAATTTATAATTAAGCCAATTGGATGGTAAAACAAGATATCCCGGGATTTTTTATGATATGGGACAAAAATAAATATTAAAGTTATAAATGTTACTAAGACTAATAAAAAATACTAATTATTACAAATATTTTTAAGGGAGGGGTTAACTGTTAGAACTAAAAGTCGATTATTATTATTATAAAAATATTATTTAATATATATAATATTAAAAAATATCAAAATTTAGGAAGGCGACTGCCCCACACCCCTCCCTTGAATCTATCACTGAAAAAATCAATAAAAGTGAAATGAATGACTTTCTCCTCAAAATTAATCCAATCAAAATCGCGAATATCCCTAACTAATTTTATTTTTTTTGGTATCCTTAACTAATTACTTTTAAGTATAGGAACAAAAATCTAAATGAACGAAAATATAAAAACTAATATCCAAACAAAATAACTATAAGGACCAAACTCTAAATAAAGTGAAACTACAATTACTAATTATATATTTCAATCTTTTCTTTTCACTTCAATATTATGATCAGGACTCAGGAACTACCTAGTCACAAAATTAATTGCCAAAAAAGTGATGGAGGTACACAGGAATATTATTGCTTAAATTATTATTGAGTCATTTCTTAGAATGTGATATTATGCATATTTTTTTCATGACTACTCTATCTACTCTTCTCCAATACCATTAGATTAGAATCTTAATAAAAAAGAAAAAAAAAGTAAAGGTCAATTTAATCTAACAATGTTGAATAGGATTGAACAAGAGTATATAGAGTAGTTATAAATAACGTAGCTATAATATCCTATCTCAGTTTTAACTATTGGGTTGAATTGATTGTTGACATATAAAGCAATCAATTCAACCCAATAATTAAAACTATTAAATGATGGTCTATCAAATTTTATATTATATCAATGTATCTTGACTATCTTCATCTCCTTTCTTTCTGTTTCGTTCTCGCGGATAAAAAGCAGCAACAATGGAGCGTTGAATCGTAAAGCTCCAAAATTGAAATTGTTTTACCTCTAATTTTGAAAAATGTACCGACCGAGTGAGTGATACATAAGTTAGCTCTTTTATGTAGGGTAGTCAAATCACATTGTGAGATCTGCCATGAAAATTACAAAATACTCTTTCGTTTCGATCCTCCAATTTTCAGGGCTGCATAAGAAGGGCCTATAATTATAATCTCAAAATCGGTGGCCGAATACTATGAATTTTGACAGCATGTTAACTAATTTTGAAGAAAACAGAATCGTCAAAGAACTATTGTACTAAAAAAATAGCTTTTTCCTTCATATATGATGTTCATAATGGTTCGACCAAGGGTTTCCAATCATATGTCATATCAGTAACTGAATTATACAATGATTTTTTTAACGCAAAGTCTTGTTGCGATTTGCCTTTCATATCTGTATTACAAGATAGGCTAGGGTGGTGCCTGCAGAGACTTCACCTGGTAATAGTATTGAGATGCATTGCTACCAGGTGTACTGGTTGAAGCAAAACATAGGCTCTGCGGAATTGAGTTCATAGGTTTCGTTGGAAAGATGGCAGTCGATGGAAAGGTAGCTGAAACTGAGAATCCTGATGATGCTGCTGAAGAGAAAGGTGGTACTCGGGTAGTTGTGACCTGGCCACGCGTTTGACACACCCAGTTGGGGAGTCCTTTCGAAGGGTCTATACCAATTCTCTCTGCTCCTTCCTGTCAAATATTTCAACAATCTTTCAAAGATAGGCTATTAATGATCCATCAAGTCCTATTAATGCACTAAGTTAGATCACCCAGAATATCCTCTATAGGATACAAAATTGGAAACGAATGCAGCATGGAACGTTCAGCGGAAATATTATCCCAATGCTGTGATGGGCTTTGTCATTGAATTCTTAGCCATATTCCATATTTAGCTCATTTTATCAATACAATGGCCATTAAAAAATATTTAGCTCATTGAATGTATCTATGAATTTCCAGAACCTATGGAGACACCACTTCAAGTATTGTTTTATGTACATATTTGGGAACTCCTCATGTCGTTGAAAGAGTGAGCCACATAGATCATTAAAAAATATACAACATAAACATAATAAAGGCAAATTCCCTTGACTTTCCCGATAACATAGATTGCACGAAAAGTTGATAAAAACTAGTATACAAATAGGATTCCCTGAACATAAAACCCAACTCCCATTGTTAGTATCAAAGTCAAAAGACAAGTATTCCTCCTTGTTCTAAGGTAGACACCGTCAAGGAAATATTCGTAAATGTTTTATATGAAGCACTCTGAAAAGAAATAAGCAATGCACTCCAGTTGTAAAACTAAAAAATAGGCAGTGAGCTCACCTCATTGGGAAAGAAACTGGAATATGTGGCATTGCAAACAGAAGGACGCTCTTCCGTTACAACCACCCCTTTCAAAGATGGATCACCAATTACTGAATTAACATTAGCCTCCATCTGCATATAAGGAGAACCCACCATATCATGACCACTAATTAAGACATAAATGTGAAGTAGTTACGAAACTATACCACAAACCAAATGTTTTACAAAGATCAACATAGTCGTTAAAGGAAAACAGGTGGTAATTAGCTACAGGTGAACCCACAAAGGCCAAAGAACTCTGCTTCCATTAAAAAATCTGCTCAGTGGCTAACATGTCCTATAGTGTTATGGAACTAGCTTGAGTGTATAAAAGGGGGTGGGGGATGATATGATATAAACCTTTGATCCCGATAATTGGCAAGAGAAACCTTAAAGTAAATGAAGTTGTAAAAGTTCGACTGTATACCCTTGAACTTCTTCCAGGATGCAAGTTGTATGGGACGGACTGGAACTGAAGATGCCCCCCGTTTTCTTTGGGACCATGTCCTGGGGTAGCTATGCCCAGATTGAGGTCAAGATTGTGACTGCCACCTGTGTTGAAGACAAATACAAACGCAATTATCGAACATTTTCTTAGCATTGACAATCAATTGGAAATCGAATATATGAGAAGATCATGTTATACTACCTTCATTAATAGCTTCAGGTTTCATCTCGCTTTCATATGTGCTTGGCTCAAAGTTAGTCACTGCCTCTCTTCCGTTGCAATTGATAGCTGCCTTGTCATAAGCCCTGATTTCCAGAAAATCAAAAGGGAGACATACGTTGGTTGGAACCCTAATGAGCTTTTATAATTCAGGGTAATAAATTCAGTACAGGTAGAATGTAATTCATGTGTCATTAGGACCTTGCAGCTTCTACTTCGCTGTCGAATAGCCCAAGATATATATACCTGCACGAAAGCATTGCAATCTCTATAACAATAACACCTTTGCCAATCGTTTCTTTGAAACAGGCATCCTAGACATGTTTCTCCATACATGGAAAAAGCCTAAAGAGTAAAGACCCATGGAGAACAAACCAATTCGCTTTGCAGGCCAATAAGTACTTGAATTCGTACTAATATCTAATCCTATAGCATACCATTACTTCAGTTTCAGTTTACATAAAAGTAGGTCCTCACTTTTTTCCAAGGAATTGTCCCATTCGAGCTTCCCAACGGCCACATTTGTGAAGTGTCACTCCTCGGTATTTTGAACTCCCCCTTGAGAAACCGGTGCTGTGGCGACGGAGTATGTGCACGAATTCCTCCTTGGAAAGATTCTTCATCTGTCCATCATTAAGAAAACGGTGAAAAACCTACTGCATGCTCCATCTAGATACATATTTCATCAAAAGCTTGTGTGTTTTCCAACCTGTTTCAGATCGTCCTCATAATCAATGAGATTGAAATTGATGTCAGCATCAAGACCCCTGAACTTGATAGCAGCTCGATCATAGGCTCTAAAATTTGAAGATTCCAAGTCAATTAAGGAGGACAACAATCAAATCCGTATCTTAAAATCAAAAGGACCGATTCTTTTGGTAAAACTATGACAAAAGGAAATTCAAATGCGTACAAAAGTTTTACCTAGCAGCAGCATGAGCGGTGTCAAATCCACCTACAAGGTCCAATACCAATTTTGTCAAAAGACGCTAAAAATAGCAAAGACGCATTAGAATAAACATAAATAAAAATGGAATTAATCAAAATTCAAATCCATACCCAAATAGACTTGTTTCCCGCAATCCCTACACCAAACAATTACAAATACAATCCCCCAAATAAAAAGGTCAGATCATGAAATTCAACCAGGAATATCCAAATTCAAATTTCACAGCTGATTACAATTACTTCATAGTAATCAAGCAATAGCCAATAATATAACATAGAACTATAAGACCTAAAAAAAGGAGGGGAAATATACAAGAGACGCTAAATTCAACACTGTGTGTGAAGTGCACGAACCAGATATGCGATTCCCATCTTCCGGTCCTCCTGTAGAAGGTGACTCCTCTGTACTGAGAGCTCCGAGACCTTGGACCCCTCCTACTCTTCTTGACCTGAGGCTGTTGTTGAACCTGAAGCATCTTCATCTCACTGTTTTCGCCTCGATGATGATCCAACGAGAGATCCACCAAGCTCTTCCTTGCGGGAAACGACGACGTCGAAGGCTGCCCCTGCCAGTTCCCGGTGCTCACCGGAAACAGCTCCTTAGTTGCCACGACGTCGTTCCCGCCTTCAACTTTAAGGATACCGAAATTGAAGGTAAACACGTTGCCAGCGCGTGTGGAGCACGAGTCGTCGTCGCCTCCTCCGTTGCTGGACCCGTCCGCATTCACGATGGAGGAATTCGATGTCCCCGAAGAAGCTTCGGGAAACTTGTCCAACAGCACGAGCGAGTTATCGTTCTGAGTCGAATCGGCATTCAGATTAAGATCTAACATAGCGCTTGTTCTTCAAGGTATTAATCAACTCTGGTTTTTTTGTTTTGTTTTTGCTATTACTTCTGCACTTTATTAATTCCAGCAAAACTATAGTCAATTAATATTGCGTCAACTTCACCGGAGATTCTCTTCCAGCGATGGTTTAAAGATGAGAGCAAAACGGCGGTTAAAGATGCAATATCGGAAGGTTTATAGAGTTTTAGAGGGAAAAAACCGAAAGAAGAGCTTCTTCGACGAACAGAAATGAATCGATGAAAAACAGAATTAGAAGATTCTCCGGTCACTGTGAGTACGCCGGATAAGGTTTCCGGCGACCTGAAAAGGGCGAGGTAGGAGGAGGAGAAGGAAACTCACAGAACGAGGAGTGAGAAGGAAAGCTCAACGAACTATGGTAGTTGCATTTTTCAGTTCCTCGGTGATGTTTTTAAGAACCAGAGAGAATAAAAACATCGGCCATTACCGGATTCCATGGAACCGGAGATTGAGAAAAAGGGTGAGAGGATGCAAATGGAACACTTGAAAAGTTCAGACCCATTTTAAGAGAAGATGGAATATATAAACATTTTCTCTCTCATGGTTCGAACCGGTTCGTTCGGTCACCTATCACTGATATTGCTGAAGAAAAGGAGATTTATTTTATTTTATTTTATTATTATTTTTCTTTACTGTGTTACAGTCGAGTAGTGGTCTCGTGGACGGAAACAACCGTGTCCACCAATAACGGCCAAGTTTCTAGTTACGTCGAGGTATTAGGTTCAATATATACATACACATGAACGATAAAGCCTACCATATAAATTTGACTTTTTTAAGCTGAGAAATACAAATTAATTAAAAAATAGACTTAATAAAAAATTAATAGAATCAATTTCAATAAATTTATAATTTACATATGTGTTTACTGGGGAGAGATCTTTTGATTTCAGTTTAAAATTTAGAAATTTTTTTCCTCATTTTTTTTTTTGGTAAAAATTTTAACTGTTGATTTCTGTATGTTTAATTATCATAGTTTATTAAGTTATATTAATTAATTAATTACTTATTTTAAATAAACGATAATTATTAGATTAATAGAAATCAACAGTTGAAATGAAGAGAAATATTTCTAAATCTTATACAAAAGCTAAAAGATTCCTCCCCATTATTACATGTATTTGTGACAGCTCCAAATATAGATTTTTTAATTAGTAGCAATAAATTTACATTTTTTTTTTCTAAATTCGACTTCCTAATAAAGTCTTTCTCGTTGTGAATGCAAAATTTTCAATGAATATATATTTTAAATTTTGATAATTTATTTCAATAAGAATATTTAACAATAATATTGAATATTCTTTACTCAATACTATTAATAAATTCAACTAAAAAAAAGCATTTTACAATAATTTACAGAAAAGTTTATACCCATTTATTGAATGGAGAAGAAAGGACTTACCAAAAAAAAATGGAGAAGAAAAGGTTAATAATATTTTAATTTTTTATAAAAGTTCACTAATAAAATTTTGATTATGAATTATTTAATAGTTTTTTGTTAGAGTCATTAATAAATCTGATATTAACCTTTTAATCAAAATTTCTCCATTTATTGAATGGAGAAATTTGGATTATGAATTATTTAAATTTTGATTAAAACCCAATGTATTAAAATATAAATGGGTTTGGCCTGGCCTGATAGCATGTGTAGGCCTTAAATTACAAGTATGATCGGACCTATATTTAAAAAAATAAAAAGCCTTGACCTAAGTCTGTTAGGCTGTTTAAGCCTATTAAACATTCAACAATTAAAAGAATAACTAAAATAATATTACTTTATCATTCAAAATTATTAAAATAATAATTTTATTTATTTAATTTAAAATAAATAATATGATATAGCCCTGACATGTACAAAAAAGCTAATGACCTGTTTTCTAAATAGATTTTTTTTTAAAGCTTAGGCATGTTCTATTTTACTATTTGTAATAGGCCAAATCTGACCTAATATAGGCTAGGTCATAGGCCCCTGTAGGCCGACCTAGCCCATTTACACCATTACCAAACATGATATCAAGTTAAAGTAAGAAGTTAATAGTGCCAAAATAATATATATATATATATATATATATATATATATAAATAGGGAAAAACTATTCTCATGTTACATGAGATAAGATTTCTCTTCTACATAACTGTGCCACTTTTTTTTTTAGGTAGTGGAACCCACAAATTTGTCTCTATGACATGAGATAACTTATCTCCTTTTAACATGAGTTTGAAAAGCGACCCATTAGATACACTCTTAAGTGGAATCAACCAATTTTTTACTCTAAAACGAATGTAAAATTCTGTTAAAAAAGTGTGTTTGAAAAGTGTAAATCCATAAAATGTCATGCACATTTAAGATGTATAAACGAATTTTACTATAACAATGTATGTAACTTATAATAAATGAAACATTTATTTCATGCAAATATTTTCATATTAAAATCTCATCTCGAAGTAGTGTCAACTGTTCTAAAACTCCTAAATTATAATTCCCAATTTTAAACATTTATTTACGATTGCAAGTCGTTCAAGAATTGGGGATTTTTAAGGTTTAAACAACAAAACAACATTTATCACTCTTTATAAATTCACATGCAGTATTGGTTGTTACGTGATTGCTCTCAATGACTTGATGGTCCAACGCGCTTTGTCGCCTCATTTCTCATCACAAAAGACATTTTAAAGAATTGGGGATTTCGAACCAGAAAAATAAAGTGATAATGAATCTGATGGATACCTATCCTTTATTGGGAACATGTATGAATTGGGTTAACTGCACAAACGAACGAGTGTGCCCACTTTTGGCCAGATACAAATAAGTATAATGCCACATTGCTAGTCATAGATTTTTAATTTATTTTGTTTTATAAATCAGGTATATCTTTTTCGAGAGGTAATTTTATTTGGGACGGATGTAAGATTATGATTTTAAATTCCTCATAAAGATAATACTGGAGATAATCGAATACATGTTTTCACTTTACTTGCTCAGCTATCATACACCAACCGAACTACCATCATTTTGTATTATTATATATATATATATATATATATATATATATATATATATATATGTGTGAGTTATATTTATCTCATTCAATATGAAATAAATCAAATTTCTACACACATAACAAACGTGGGTCCCACATTTATTTATTTTTTCTCCAATTATTTGTGGGTCCCTCTTATAATTATATTTAACTAACATAAGGTAATTCATCTCCAACAACATAAGAAAAACATATATATATATATATGACAGATTCTTTTTACATCAGTGTAAGACTAAAAAATCTTATACCACATCTCAATCGTTGATGGATGAAAATCATCGATTGGTATTTGTAGTGTAATTAATGATTAATTAATTCATACAACTTCATAAATTATAACAGTTGGATGCACGGAAATCAACGGTTGAGATCTGGTGTAAGACTTATTAGTCTTACACTGGTGTAAAATAAGTCTTACACCGGTGTAAAATGATATATATATGGGTCAGGATCATTTTACACCAGTGTAAGTTACACTCTTAATCTTGTCCGTTAATCCCACTTATATCTGAAGGCTCAATTTTTTTAGTAACGTCAGCCATTGGATACAAGTGGATCAATGGTCAAGATTTAGTGTAAAACTTCTAATTCTTACACCGGTGTAAGAATATCCTGTCCATATATATGTGTGTGTGTGTGTGGGGGGGGGGGGGAATGTTTATCCTTTTAAATGACACAACTTGTGTCATTTTACTCTCACAAAGAGGTGGGACCCACAACTTTATTTTTTTGTCAACTCTCTCTCCTCCTTTATCTATCTCTTTCTCTCTATTAAAATGACACAATTTTACATCTTTTAAAATGACACACACTTTTCCCTATATATATATATGGAAAAAATATTTCTTTAGCAACTTGAGATAAGTTTATCTCCGGCCACACAAAATTACGTCGTTTTGTTTATTTATTTCTTTATATTAATTGATATACCTTTGAATGTTATGATTTCTTTTTTTTTTCTCTTCCTTCATTACCATTGATCCATCTTTGTACGGTTATGATTTAGTAGTCGGATATAAAATTATCTCAAGTAGCTTGAGAAACGATAAGCCTTATATATATGTGTGTGGTTTATATTTCTGCAGCTGTTGTACGTGCAACAATCAAATACTTATCATATATATACTTGAAAACATTAAATGCAGGGAATCATAACCATACAAAGGATGAAAGCATTAAATGTAAGAAATCCTAACTATACATCTGTCGTTGCTGTAGTAAAGCGGCTGAAGAAATAATTTTACATCTATATATATATATATATATATATATATATATATATATATATATATATATATTCGAAAAATATTGCTATTCATATATATCTTCACATATATCATCTCCTCTAATTTTAATCAATATAATGACCATCAAATTTTATTATACTTTATTATTAATTTAAAATTCATTGTAGTAAATTTATTTTTTAGCTTAAATTTTTGGTTAAATAATTTTAATAATTAATAAATCAAACCTATGTTGCACGGATACCGACACGGGACACGGGTTACGAACACCGACACGGGACACAGGTTACGACACGACACTCCGACACGTTAATTCTAAAAAATATTAAATTCTGACACGTTAGGACACGTTCTGATATTATATAATATTTTTAATTTATGTAGTGTATTTTATATTTAGTATTCAAAAATTTAACAAAAAAATAAAGTTAAACTTATAGTATCTATCAATTTTGTAAAGAAACATAAGATATCTCAAATGTTTATATTAAACTCAATAACATCGTAATCGTAATCTAACGAATCTAATAGTTGGAACTCAAGATGCAATGTAACGTAACCTTTGAACTTTTTTGAGTCTTTACAATGAGTATTGGAGTGTCGGAGTGTTGGTGAGTGTCGAAAAATGTCGGACACGACACCTTAGAATTTTTGAAGTGTCGGTGCTTCATAGAATTAAATAATATGAAAAGTATGTAAAAATATATTAAATAGAATTATTTATTAAATAATTTAAGTGCAACGTTAATTTCTTTCTACTTTGGTTTTTCTTACTTTTACGTGACACGACCTCATTGTGACTTTTTTTTTTTTTAGGTGATAACCTCATTGTGACTTTGATAATCTGCTACCGACACACGTATCTCGTCCGTTGATCTCTCAGTCAAATCAAGCTGTATTTAAAAGGGACTATTCGCGTGTTTACATCCAGTACCCAATTTTGTAATCTTGTACTTACTATTTTATATACGTAGTGGTCCCCAAAAATGAACATGAAACATGGTTGGGAATAAGAGGTGCTAAACAAATTAGAGGTCTTTTAGGGTTCTTTGACTCAGCTCGTGAAGGCTTAAATTTACATGTCTAAAATTGGTTGTTGGCAACAGGCTTGAACTTGTATAAAAGCTCGTTTAATAAAAAAGCCTCAGGCTCCA